CCGACATACCCACCAATATCTGGTCCCGAAAGAGGCTGACCACTGAGCCCCTGAATGAAAATTATATTTCCATCAATGCATATCGCATGTTCAACAAGCACCATGTCAAGTGTGTTTTACAAAAAATGGAAATCACATTATCACAGGATATGAAATTAAACTAGGACCAAAGTCTTTCAGAAATGAGAGGAAAAACTAGAAATAACTAACAAAACAAGTCTCCTGCTTCATGGTAAATTTCTCAAAGAAGGAATGACACATTCAATTCTAAGGGGAAAATGAATCATAAACACCAATAAGGCAATTATTTGATATGGTGATTAGACGAGAGCAATATTTCATAATATCTTCAGTCATCATAGCTGAATATTGATCCCAATCAATATAAAGCTTTAGTTAAGTTCACTGGTCAACAACAACTTCTGATGCATTTGCTGTAAAAAATAAACCAAATACAATTAGAATCAATTCAACTAAGCCCATTCCCAATTACTCGGGTTCAGCTACTTGAAGCCTATGTCTTTAATCTGCTATCATAACCAAAGTCCAGATATCCATCAATGTTCAGTTCATACCCGCAAAATGGGCTCCCTTGCACGACTACATATCTTACAGAGAAAGAAAAGGGATAGAATCCGAAATCGCAAGAGTTTTTCATATAAACACAAAACAAAAGCAGCCTAAATAGGCTACAAAAGTAAATTTATTGTATGGCTTCTATGCAGCCCTGATTTCCCAAGAAAAACAATAACCCAATGATCTTGTTTGCTAAAGTCATATTCTAAAATATTGTCAATGCTATGGCCATTTAAACAGTGTAGAAAGTGTAACTGCATCTCAATGTCAGCCTAATTTCAATGAGGTGGAAACAAAACTGAGAATTCTCAGCATTCAATTTTCAAAATTGAGTTCTTCAAAATTCATCTCTCTCCCTCACACATGCAAAGGCTCAATTACAAATCAACACATACTCTGTGCGCTAAACAAGCATTCATACCCTAGAAAATGTTCAGGCACACGAAATGCACTTCATGAAGCAAAGGAAGGTGGGTCAGTCAAAAAAGAGGTCACAATCAACAGAATATTTGTATTTTGGACTTCCCTCCACTCTAATCACCATTTAACCAACAACCGAAAATTTGTATTGTGGACTTCCCTCCCCCCCTACTCTACAAAAGTATCATTATCATGGTACTATTTTATGTATGACACACTTTTCTATGTCAGTAACTATTCTATATAACAAACCAGGTAATGCAGTGAAAGGGCACGGAAAGATCCAGAGAGGACACCTGTTCAACATATTTAGAGCCAAAAAATAAAGAAAATTTAAAACTACAGCATTTCCAGTCAGCCTCCAAAATCAAAGTCCACTAACCAATTGGAGAACCATTGAGATACTCATATGAAGATGCTCCCAAAGAAAGGTTGTCTCCAGTCCACGTCGCCGCATACCTTTGGCTGCCTATAAACCCAGCTCTTGTTAGAACAAAAGGACGCCCATTTTCATTAGCCAATTTCATGCCTTCATATGTTGACCTTGCCATCAGCATGCCATATACCTACAAGAAACATGCATGGTTATGGTGACTATTACAGTTGACATAAATATTCAAGTCCAGATGTTAATTGAGATGCAACAAATTACAAAAATATCTATTTGGAGATACAATAGAATAAAAAGGTAAGATATATGCATAAGCAGCAACGTGGATTATACATTGTGATAGTGCAAATGATTTTGACAGCCCCCAAATTCAATGTCTCCATGATGAACATTGCTCTCAGGCATTGTCTTTGTTACAGTCTGCAAAGAAACATAATAAGAACGGAACCAACCAAAAAAATAAAGTAAAACAAAAATAAGAAAGCAATAAAAAATTCTGAGCATCACCTTGAAAACAGCTGGTTCATTCATGTCATTCCATATACCATCAACCCCATTAGAAATGAAATCTTTAACTAGATCAGCCCACCATGACCGAGTTCTAGATTGTGCAAAGTCAGGAAAAACACAAGGCCCAGGCCATACGTCTCCTGAAAAATGGATGGGTAAATTCAGAAATTTTCAATAGAAAAGAAAAGGAAAGTAAAAAGAAAGGAAGGAAGGAAGGAAGATAAAAAGAAAAAAGGACAAACATGAAGGAGGACAGGCAAGTTGAAATTGAGAATAGATCTGAAGGAACGAAGCAAATATACCAACAAAAGGCTTTCCATCAGCTGTTTGAATCCAGATATCTCTTTCAGAACCACTGTCATAAACAAAATATCCTTCTTCTCGTTTAATCCCCGGATCAAGCATCCAGATGGCCTTGAAGCCAGCTTGATGAAGTTCTGCCACCAAAGTTTTTGGATCTGGAAACCGCTCCTGTTAACAAATCATAGCAGTTACTTTTCTGTGCAAACAATGGTGTCCACAGGACAGTAAACCATTTCCTAATCAGACTTTCAGTCCATCATTTAGTCTGGTCTAACAAATGATTAAGTAAATCGCTAAAGAAGTCATAGCCTAATGGACGCATTCTTATAGATTCCATATATTAGTGCTTAAGAAGCAAAAGAGCGGATTACATCATATATGAAGTTTATCGAATAAGAACATGCCTGGTCAAAAGTGAAACAACGATAACCATCCATGTAATCAATGTCCATCCAAATGACATCACAAGGCATGCCCTTCTGCCTAAATGTTTTGGCAATCTGCAAACGGTAGTAGATGAGCAAGCAATAAGAAAGAGGTGACAGACGAACAAAATGTTTAGAATGTAAGTAGTGACTATAGGAAAATAGAAGAAAATTGACATCCTCATTCTTTGTCTCTGAAAGGAAAACAAGAAGGACCTCCACAATACAAAATATGCAGACCAGCACAAACGAAAAAAAACAGAGAGAGAGAACCCGAGCTTTATATAAAAATGTGAATGGCATTGGTATCTGTATCAGTATCTTTATTCCTAAGTGATACACCTGAAGTAGACATTCAGGTGAGTGCTACACCTGAATAAAAATTCAGGTGATCTGAAAAACAAAAGCTCCGGTAAACAGAACGTATAATTAGAAATAAAAAGAAAGAAAAGAAAAGAAAAAGGTTATACAAATCCAGATAGGGGTTGAGGAAAACAAAATTAGTATCATCTGATACAAAATAACAACCTCACGAACTCGAGCCTCAGAGTCATAGCCCCAACGACATTGATGATATCCCAGCGCCCACTTTGGTGGCATAAATACAGTCCCTGATAAGAATTACCAATTGTTACTTACAAACTTATGAACCAGACTGAGAGAGACAACAACAATAGCAGAAAACAGATAAAAAGCAAAAACCATTGTCATTATTCATATGTTTGTATATTGTTTCCGTGGTAAATCAGGCAATTCTGATTGGCAATCTCATTTAATCATGTCCAAGCAATTAACTTAATGTAGCAGTCTGGTTGAATGGTAATTAATATGAATTATTTAATTTAAAATGAATTTATATTATCGAGTTAAATTTTAAAAAATGAAATGGAGCGACCCAAGTGAATGCATAGGCATCGTCAGACATCCTGTCAGAAAACGTTAATCGCATTAATCTGGTGGAGGCAAACTAGTTATATTCATCGCGTGAAGCCGGTAGATATATGGATGATCAGATTGTCTTCTCTGGCCGTACGATCTCCGCGTTTGTCCGGTGTAGCGCCTGGCGCACGCCCGTGCCATTTCCTACTTTTCAGGCCTTCGGGTTCAAATAATGCAATTGCTCCACGGTTTGAATTGCTCCACCACCGCTTCGAACGGCTTCCACTCCCCTCCACCACGCAACCATGGATTATTATCCCTTGTGGTTCGTTGTTCCAGTGACCAGAGAAATTAATCCTACTCGTTATCTTAAATTTTACCACAACTAATTCAAGGATCTTAACCCACATTATGTCACTGCGAAAAATATTTTTTTACCAGGGGTTGAGGCTGGATTTTACTGTTATTTAAGATGTAAGAGTAATTACCCTAATCCGGATCGGGTAATAAATAAAGGGTAAATTGTACTTCACTTTTCTTTATTTTAAAAATTCCGATTCTCAAGAGAATCAATAGGACTTACAGTCGGACGTCCTGCACGTAACTAACAACGGCAGGGGGAGATGCACTGTGTGGAGCGGTAACAGTCTACCAGAGAAAAGATAGACGACTTATTGATGTTTTCCCCGAAATTAGTAGCTGATTATGGTAAAAACCAAGAAAGATTATTTTTTATCAAGAAAAAAAAAAAGGTTGCTTCATACGGGGGAAAACCCCGAACAGGTTTTGTCGGTATAGTTTCTGAAAATAGGAGATTTCTGGTCGCGACACGATCGGTGGCGTCGCCGCCGTCGGGGGTTTTGGAACACAGCAAGCCAGTGTGGCGGCTCTCATCTTCGAACTTCTTCTAACCTATCTCCCTCTCTCTTTCTTTTTCTAAATTTAAAAAACTTCTCACTCAAGTTCAGAAAAAATAGAAGTACAAAAGAACAAATCTTATTACTTGTTTGCCCTAGATCAAGATTTTTCAGTTTTCGGGTAGCTACGTAATAAATACGTATAAATCTTCTCGGTACAATTGTATCACGATTCATTACCTTATCCTAAAAAGTTAATCTGATAAGTTTTATAGCGTTTATACTTATAAATTCAGGATCTTCCTTTTCCTATTCGATATAAGATTGTCCTTATGAACATTTTTTCCTACACAATTCTATGACACCCTCTTCACAGATAGGACATCTTATCCACACTACCTCGGGTGCTTGCAAGATATAAGAGTCGGGTCTGGGACGGTTTTGATACTATTTGTCATGGATCATTATCCTCTCCTCAAAAATTAACAACTAACAAGGTGTGTAACGCTTATACTTATAAATTCAAGACCCTCAATTTTTCTATTGATATGAGATTGTCCTTGTGACACTTGTGTATTACATAATTCAATTATTTTCTTGCCCTAGAAGTTATAGTCATGATATTTTACTCATGTGACCAAGTATCCAAAGATTCCAAAATTTAGGACCATTAATAGGTTGAATTTTAGTTTGAATCTGATTTGAACTTAATTCGAATTTTAGATTTTTTAATTGATTAAAATGTCTAATAGATTAAATTTTATTATAAATATTTATGATCCGAAATAAGTGGACTGAATATGAAATTAAACAATTCGATCTGTTAAAAATCTGAATCTAAATATTTTAATAATATTTTTTATTCAATTAATAATTATATATATTAATAAATGCTTTTACACATAATAAAATATATGTGACATTATAAATTAATGATGCATTAATTTGTATTTGTTAGGCATTTTATTTAATAAAATAATATTTTTTTTCTAAATTATTTTAGAATATTCTTCTTGCAACACCCAAAACCCATTTTTTTTCAAAATTTCACAAATTCACTTTTGCATACTTTCTAAATTTATTTTGAGATAAGTTTGAGTAGTTTATAAAGGAGGAAGTATATTTGAAGACTTGGAAGAAAGTGTATTTTTATTAAAAAAAATTACTGTAGTGTTATTGTAACAATGCGTCGTAACACGCTGCATTCTAATTTTGGGCACTATAGCATGCCAAGCGTGCTGGACACTGAAATGTGCACGATATGACACTAAACTATGTCGTAGCACGCAAGATCACGATTTTTAGTATTTTTTTTAAATTTTAGAATTTTTAACTCCTCCAAAAACTCCCTAAACCTTTTTGAACTCCTAAAATTATAAAATAAATATTTGAGAGATATCTTAAGTTACTTAAAAATCATCCAAAAATTCATGAAAACTAAAAATGAAAATAAATTAAAGAGGGGCAAAATGGTCGTTTGATGTTGAATGACCCACGTATTTAAAACCTTGGACTGCCTTTCTAGAGCTTTTCAAAAGCAATTTTTACAATCTTAGAAAGAGAAAACGAGAAAAGGGGAAAAGAAGAAGAAAATGGAGAATAGGTATGAAAATAGCTAGTTTTAAACCCTATTTGATTGTTCTTCAATATTTTTACATATTTAGCTTCCTTTTTTAATTTTATAACGTTTAATCGGTTTAAAATCTTTAATTAGTGGTGATTTGTATGTTGTAGAGAAGGAAGGTAGTTGAACCTCATCCATAAGAAAACTTTGTATGATTCTTGTTATTTCTAGTTAAAATGCCTTTAGATTTTGTTTTATTTGAGTATATCTATGTTTTCATGGTTAAATTAGAACTTGTATATGTATTTATCGTTAAAATTTGAGAAAAATGGGTGAGATGATGTTTGGCTGGAGTCCAAAAGTTAAGAGAGGAAGGAAAATTGTAATTATATGATATAGGGTATAGGTATTGCTTTACATAACGTATTTAGAGTATTTTTCTCATGTGTGTGTATCCCACTTGTAGGAGAGAATAATCTAGTTACACCAGACCTGGACCTACAGCTCTAAGAGCATATATGTAGACTCTTTTTGCATGGTAAATAGGAATCTACCTAAGTCTAGTTTACTTTTCAAACTATGATTTACAATGAACAATACTCATTTTAAACCCAATTGTATATTATTATTCAAACATAAGACACAATCCAACTATGTTTTGATTTTAGTTATATACTTAATTTTATAATTTTCATGAGTTATGATATTTTAGTACTTCGGCATCTAGACCATGATGTTAGGCAGCCATCTGAGGCAGATGGTAGTCTTACTTGTACTACATAATATATGTATGCTCATTTTTCTAATGAAGGACCATGTGTCAAAAATTGTGTTAGTTTAATAAGGGAATGGCGATCACCAATTCGAACTACACAGTGTAGTAGCACCTGACATATTTATGTTTTGTCCAATAAGAGCATATGTTGTATTTTATAATTTTTACTACCCTAGACACCTTTGTTATATACATCCGAATAAAGTATGCATGTGACTATATATTGAGATCCTTATGATTTTTTATGATGTCTCATGATATCCTCTATGATTTATATTTATACTCTCTCATGTATTATGACTTGACACGATAACAAATTTGACTTTTATATTGCTGAAATTCTTTTATTATGTCTTTTGATATGAAACTATATAGATTACATATATTATTAAAATAGTAACAAAACCTGATTGTTTCCAGTAAAATTAGATGAATTACCATTCATCAAGACGTTCGTCTCACCCTACTATTTTCTTTCTCCCTGCAGATACTGAGACAGTTAATGACGATCTTGGTATTGGGTTTACATATGTTTTTGTTCACTTATTAACACTAGGTTAGGCTAGGCTATAAGAGTTGTTTTGATTGTATCTTATAAACATGGAATGTGTATGTTTTGAGACTATTTTATATTTCGGAACAATTGTAAATAGATTTCTAATGTTTTGAGATCTAATGGATAATATACTGCTGGTCATATGTTATGTAATGATTTTTGAACATGACATGTTTGTTAAATACTTATTAGAAGTTTGCTAGAAATGTTGATACAGGATGAATTATATATAAGTCATGTGTTAGATGAGTTGTTACAAATTATTTATATTTTGTGAGGTTATTTAAATAAATAGGTTCTTAGACACAAAACTCCTAAGATCAGCTAAGGGAGGGCTTATAGAAGCAGACATACTACTAAATTTTACTCAGTGGCATTTTGGTTACTGCCTCACTGTCATGCTTCTTAAGGTTAGAAAGGCTGGGTGTGACACTTTTACTTTCTCTAATTTTAAATTTTCCACTAGATATTATATTTAATAATTAATTAATTTTAAAATTTCATGAAACATTTGAATAAATTAATTATAAAAATTTATAAGTTTTAACAATAATACGAATAAAACTTAATAATATAATGAAGCATTGGAACCCTATCTTAACTTTTATAATATATTATATAGGAAAAGATCTTCTTAATCATTCATAAATAATATTTTATTTCTAAATTTTATTTATATTTTAATAAAGTTAAAATAATTAAACATAAATATTACATAAATTTAAATATCTAATATGCTATTTTTTAAAAAAATTATGTCATTTTTACTTATTAGTTATTTGATTTTAGTTATTGTTAACTATTATTCGAATTAAATTTTTTACTCAGATTTTAAATTTTTATCGAATTCGAACATAGTACTGATAGATGAAAATCATATATAATATTGGTTCAAATTCGATCATACACGTTTAAAATTAAATCTAGATTCAAATTATTTAAATTTGATCCAAATCCAATCCATATGTAGCGCTATTAGAATTGATGGATTCCGTGCATGGTGGTTAAGTAACGCATTCTTATTTTTATAATATTTTTCAGACTTATATATATTTTACCGTTTGTTAAAATAAAAACCTAAAGAAAAAAAAGTAACCTGATCGTCTAGGAGAGATTTGGGCTTTGTCCTTACCTTCAGGTAGCCCTATTCACGGTTCAGGTTCGAACCGTGAACCGGCCAGGCCTGGCCCGAGAAAAAACTGGATCGGACCGGCAACATCTGGTCCAGTCCAGTTCTGAACCATGAAGGTTCGCAATCCGGTTAAGGTTCACATTTTTTTTGAACCTGAACCGGAACCGGGAGTGAACCGGGAATGAACCGTGAACCGGAATCATGATGAACAGTAAAATATTTAGTATTTTTTAAAAGTTTAATTTTTATTATTATTTTTTTTTATTTTTTCATTTAAAGTTAAAATGAAATACATTGCACATAGGGTGTGCAAAACCAAACCAATTAACCAAACTAATTTTTAAAATTTGGTTTGGTTTTTTTAAATTTAGTTTGATTTGGTTTGGATTAAAAAAATTATTCAAAATTATAGTTTGGTTTGTTTTAAAAACCAAACTAAACCATTCTAAACCAAAAATCAAATTTTAAAAATATTTTTGTTTCATAAAAAAATACACACACACGTACATATATTTATATGAACATATGTGTGTGTACACAAACACACAGACATTTATACATACTTATATATATACACACATGTATAAATTTTATCCACTCATATAAATATAAATATATATACATGTACATATATTTATATTATATATAAATATATATATACACACACGCGCGCGCGCGCACACGCATGCACGCACGCACACATGTAAATATATATATATATGTATGTATGTATGGACGTACGTATACATATATAAATAGGTAAATATATGTATTTACGTATTTATGCATACACACACACAAACACATACATATTTCTATATTTTTATGAATATATATATATATACACACACACATACGTATATTTAAATTTTAAATTTAGTTTGGTTTAATTTATAATTAAATTAAATTGATTGGTTTTTAAAGTATTAAAACCAAAAAATCAAAAAATCAAACAAATATTATGATTTGTATATACTCGTATGTATGTATACGTATACGCATACATATATATTTTTATGTTTATATAAGTATATATATATACACACACACACATGAATATATACATACATATATGTATGTATGTATGTATATACAAATATATACACACACATACATATACATGCATATATATACATATTTGATAATAAAAAATTAAATAAATAATTTATTTTAAAGTATTAAAAAAACCAAAAAACTAAACCAAATTATCAAAAATCAAACCAAATTGTAGTTTGCACACCCTAATTGTATGTAATAAAAGGTTAAAAGAGTCATGAGTTCCATTCATTAGTCAATAAATTAAAGTAGTTAATTTATATATATACAAAAGGAAAATTTATTTCCAATGTTTAATAGTTTAAATAAATTAGAAAATAGATTATTTAAAAAATTTCAAATGATTTATAAGTTAATAAAAAAAATTTTTTGGTAAAATCAAATTTGAATCAAACTGAACCGCGAATAAACCAGAATCAAACTGAACCACGAACTGAACCGTTAACAAACCGTGAACCGAACCGGAAAACGAACCATTAATGAACCAAGAACGAATCGGCCCGGAATCGTGAACGAACCGAAACCGTGAACTGAACCGGGAAACGAACCATTAATGAACCGGGAACAAACTTGCCCGAACCGTGAACGAACCAAAACCACGAACCGACTCGGACTGGAACCGCGAACCGGCCCGAACTAGAACCGGAATCGAAACCGTGAACTGGCCCGAACCAGAACCGGAATTGGAATCCTGAATCGGCATGAACCGTAACCGAAACTGGACCGCCTTCAAGGTTCCGGTCCCGGTTCATATTTTTCCAGGACTGGAACCGACGGTCTGGTTCTAGTCTGGGCCGGTTCAAGACCCGTGAACAGGGCTACCTCCAGGAAAAAAGGAAAACAAGTATAGCCTAGAAAAGACTAATTTTTTTCTTCTTTAATGTATTTATTATTTCTATTAACAATTATTATTTCAATTTAATAAATATTTTCATTCTAAATGATCTAGGAGGATTTTTTAAAAAAATTAAAATTTGATTAAAAATTATATTTTTACTTTATTTTTAAATTTATTCAAAATTTCATAATTATCTTAAAAGAATAATTTTTTTTAAAGAGTTTTTATCCTTTAGAAATAATACATTCTTTCAAATTCTTCTCCATAAAAAAGAAAATTATGTTCTATTGGAATGGGAGAGAAAAAAATACCTCTAAAAAAGTTCAAGAAAAAGAAAAAAATAACTCCAAAAAATTTAAAATTTAACCAGAACTTTTCGATAAGAATTAACCATTCAACGACCAAAATTGTCTTAAGATAAAAAGTGTAAAATGTTCCATGATTGAAGTGTCTAAGGTAAAAAATTAGAGATGTTCCAATAATTCAAGATAAATTAGTATAAGAAAAATTGAATTTGTAATTAAATTTTGATTAGGATTTAGATATAGAATTTTTTTTAAATCAGTTGTATAAGCATTTATGACTTGTTATTGATAATTTTCAATTTAGTTTTTCTTTACATTTATTCTAGTTGAACTAGAATTATTCTATTCAGTGGATCTGTTTTGCCATTATTTGTGGCATAAAAAAAAAATTATGGATCACTAAAAAGACATATATTCAAACGAAGGTGCTGCCTTTAGACACCATTCCTCGTGATTACGAGCATGGAAGAAAAGCAAATATTGAGAAAGAAAAAGAAAAAAGAAAAAAGAATTTCCGTGAACAATCAGAACACATTATGTGGACATTTTGATTACCTTGAATAATTCTCTTACGCACCTCAAAAACCAGATATGTTCACGAGGGAAATAGCATCCTATGCCATTTTTAATCAACTACATTTTTCAATAAATCAAACTGGTCGTGCTCCCTACTGGTCTACATGTCAACCTGAGGGCGAAGACGAAGGGCAGTTTGACAGATGATGGGTCCTCCCAAAGTCACACTCCCAAAGATTTTAACTTTATCCTCCCATAGATCTTTTGTTTCATTTAGACAACTTTCATTGAACAACGGGAAAAAAATAAAATAAATTAAAAGAGATCGGGAATGACACATCTCCAACATCATCATTGTTAATGATTTGCCTTGTATAAGCACAACGATACCAAATACACCGTATATTCATATCAGCCAACATATCACTACAGTGCTTAAAAAGGAATTCAGACACTATGAATGTTATGAAAGTATGAAAAAGAGGAAGATAGAAGTTACCAACTGCACGAGATAAAGATACCAAAACATCAGTTGGCGATTGAAATGGACCAAATGTGATGACAGGGTATGATTGAGAAGCAACAAACTTTATAGTTGATTCTTCCCGCAAGTCAATCTGCTCACAAGAAAGTCTGATAAAATAGCCATCCATTCAACTGCCATTTACATGATCAAACATCGTAATAGAAAATCACAGTTACCTCACATCGTCTTGTTGTATCAGCAAGAACCCCTAGTGCCTCTCCACGTGGAAAAACAGCTAGCACCCAAGGATGTGATTGGTACAATGATGTAGTACCAGAGCCATACCCATACGCATCAGTATTCCAAGTAAAAACCTGTTCATTGCATAATTGACAATGTTATGAAGAACGTCATGCTTTGACAGATGACATAGCTAATTAACTTACTCTCTTTCCTGTCCGTTCAAGTTTCCCACTAACTTCTCCTGTTCCATAGAATGAGGTACCTCGTGGAAGCTAAATCAAGGCAAAGTTCAGTTAATAAATCATTAAAATGAACATGAGGGGTCCTATTGGATTTGTTTATGAAAATTGTTTTCTGTTTCAAAAACGCCCTTTTGGAAAATTGTTCTGCAAAACTATTCTGGGAGAATTTTCAAAGAAAACAAGGCACTTTCCAGAAAAAAAAAAATTGTTTTCAGAATTATCTTTTACTTGAAAATGAAAATGAAGATGACAAGAAAACAAAAAAATTTCACTTTTCAAGATTTAGTATTTTCTGTTGTAAAAAACATGAAAAATAAAAATCAAAAATCGGGAGCAGAAAACAGTTTACAAATCCAAATGGATCCAATATATTTATACGTATGCAAATAACAGCAAGTAAATCGTGGTGGGGAATAAGGCAACGAACTATGTTTTATGTAACTGACCTCAATCTGAATAATCTGTTGTCCACGAACACACTCAAAGGTAGGGATATGTGAAGGGACTTTTTGACCATTGATAATCGTGCATCCCTGTCTTTGGGATTAACAAAAGAAAGACTGGGAAATACTGCATTTCTATGATCTGCAGAACAATCAAATCTGAAAATTCCATCCTCTATAATGGTCTGAAAAATCATTTTTCCTGATTCCGTATCAGAAGTCGCTGTGATCCCTTCAACCTCAGACATCTTGGAGACTATCAGCCTATTGTTAGGCGCTTCTTCTGCGCTCTGAATAATCTTGTCAGGAATCTGCTCCGATGATCAAAGGAAGCTACAGAATTGCATCGCAAAAATTAAGAAGCATAAGAAAATTGCATCCACCAGAGCCAAAACCCCAATTATTCAGATGGGGACCCTCAATAATATAATAATATGCTACAACTCTGCCAGGAGGGTAACCAATGTCATCAATTCCGTTGCTAATACTTAAACTCACACAAGATAGAAACTCACAACAATGGCATGCATCTGCAGCGCACAGAGATATCATGCATTAAACACATTAGCATGAAATCAACACCATCTACACCATGCATGATTCGTCATACTCCACAAGTCAGACCTGTAAGGATTTCTTTTTGTAAACAGTAGTCGGGAAACAGAATACAAATTACCAGGTTAATTTCGAAAAGTTGTCTTCAGGAGAATTTGCAGAAAGCAGGTCCCTGTTTAGAAAACAGCAAAAGTTGTTTCCACAATTCTTGGTCAGATTATTCATCCGAAACTCAAAACAGATAAAAACACTAGTTGCTAACATTTAGGTGAGTACCGTTTCAGGGATCATACCAAATATAAACTCAAAGCCGAAAAACGAAAGCTGCGTCCAAATACAAACGGATTTTTTAGCTTCCAGGCCAAATGCATCTTGCTTCTCAACTTACCACACAGTCGAGGAACACCTACTTCTCATTTCATCTTTCACTGGCTTATCATTCCGCTCAGACTAAAGCCGACCCAGATAACTATGCTTTCAAGTGAATCAATAGCTGGACAAAACAAGTACAACCCATTGCCTGACCTGATCGAGTGAAAAGGAGCCGCTGTTTCTCTTGTGAAATAGGTGGGAGGGCCAACACGGTCCAGCCAACCGAACCTCTTTAACTTCACATTCACTGGCGAAAATGATGAAGGAACCTATTCGCCACAGACACGATTATGCTTTCTTGATAATATTCTTGATGCCTGCGCTGCTACAGTATTGCCGCTCAATAATGGCGATACCTCCGTCCGGGTTCGTGGGACAAAAACGTAATTAAGTAGGTAATGGTCCAACAGTTAAAAAGAAAAAAAAAGGGGACAGTATTTTTAATTTTAAAAATATATATTTTTAAAATTTATATATTTATAATATAGTATTTTAAAATTAATAAAATATTATTTGCTTATCGTATATTTTATATATATTTTTTAAAGATAAATATTTATATAAAAAATAGAGTGTTAATTTTTAAATAAAAAATAAATTAAAAAAGTTATATAAAATTGAATTAATAATATTTAAATATAAAAATTTAAAGTAAAAAATAATTAAAATATTAGAAATAACATATATATATAATACACATACATTATATACGTATATATATATGCATGTATATATGTATATAATACATAAAATGGTACATTAAATAAAATTATATATTAATATGTAATATACATTATACATATATATTATATGTATTAATATAATATAATATATATAATATTATATTTTATATTTTAATATACAATAAAATATATTATTACATAACATTGTATGTAATAAATTTTTTACTTTAAACATAACTAGAACAATTCACTTAAAAATTAAGTACAGTTTAAAGATTATGATTATTTTCAAAAATAAAATACTTTAATTTTTAAAATTATATTTTAAAAATATTATTAAAAAAATAATATTTTTAAAATTTTAATTTAAAAAATAAAAGCACGTAATTTTAATATTTAAACAATCCTAAAATGTTAAAACAAAGGATTCCACATATATTCAGGTTCTTGAAAGCTAATTGGGAGAAGCTGATCCTGGTGGGTCGAAACTCGTGGGCTCACGCACTCCTTCTCCAATGATTGATGATGGTTAATGAGTGAGTGGTGTGTGGAGGCAACAAGAGCCCCGGGTTTGAGAATATTAGAGCCTTACGGAGAAAGGGCACTGAATAGGGGACAGTCGAGGAACGCCTACTTCTCATTTCATCTTTCAACGGCTTATCATTTCAATTAGACTAGAGCCAACCCAGGTAACTATGCTTTTAAGTGAATCAATAGTTGGACAAAATAAGCCTAACCCATTTCCTAACCTGATTAAGTGAAATGCAGCCGCTGTTTCTCTTGTGAAATGGGTGCGAGGGCCAACGCCGTCCACCCAAACGAACTTTTTTAACTTCACATTCATTGGTGAAAATGACAAAGGAACTGATTCTCTATAGACACAATTATGCTTTCTTGATAATATTCTCGATTCCTGTGCGCTACAGTATTACCACTCGATAATGGCAATACCTCCATCCAGGTTGGTGGGACAAAAGCGTAATTAAATAAATAATGGTCTAACAATCAAAGAATATTGAAGTGTTAAAACAAATGATTGCGATCACTTTCAAAAATAAAATACATTAATTTTTAAAATTTATATTTTAAAAATATTATTTAAAAAAATAATATTTTTAAAATTTTGATTTAAAAATAAAAACACCTAATTTTAAGATTTAAACAGTCCTGAAATGTTAAAACAAAGGATTCCACGTATATTCAGGTTCCTGAAAGCCAATTGGGAGAAGCTGGTCCTGGTGGGTCGAAGCTCGTGGGCTCACGCACTCCTTCTCCAATGATTGATGATGGTTAATGAGTGAGTGGTGTGTGGAGGCAATAGGAGCCCCGGGTTTGAAATATTAGAGCCTTACGGAGAAAGGGCACTGAATAGGGGACAGTCGAGGAATGCCTACTTCTCATTTCATCTTTCAATGGCTTATCATTTCAATTAGACTAGAGCCAACCCAAGTAACTATGCTTTCAAGTGAATCAATAGCTGGACAAAATAAGCATAACCCATTTCCTGACCTGATCGAGTGAAACGGAGCCGCTGTTTCTCTTGTGAAATGGGTGCGAGGGCCAACGCCGTCCACCCAAACAAACTTTTTTAACTTCACATTCATTGGTGAAAATGACAAAGGAACGATTCTCCACAGACATGATTATGCTTTCTTGATAATATTCTCGATTCCTGCGCCGCTACAGTATTACCACTCGATAATGGCGATATCTCCATCCGGGTTGGTGGGACAAAAGCGTAATTAAGTAGATAATGGTCTAACAATCAAAGAATATTGAAGTGTTAAAACAAATGATAGCGATCACTTTCAAAAATAAAATACATTAATTTTTAAAATTTATATTTTAAAAATATTATTTAAAAAATAATATTTTTAAAATTTTGATTTAAAAATAAAAGCACGTAATTTTAAGATTTAAACAGTCCTGAAATGTTAAAACAAAGGATTCCACGTATATTCAGGTTCCTGAAAGCCAATTGGGAGAAGCTGCTCCTGGTGGGTCGAAGCTCGTGGGCTCACACGCTCCTTCTCCAATGATTGATGATGGTTAATGAGTGAGTGGTGTGTGGAGGCAACAAGAGACCCGGGTTTGAGAATATTAGAGCCTTACGGAGAAAGGGCACTGAATAGGGGACAGTCGAGGAACGCCTACTTCTCATTTCATCTTTCAATGGCTTATCATTTTAATTAGACTAGAGCCAACCCAAGTAACTATGCTTTTAAGTGAATCAATAGTTGGACAAAATAAGCCTAACCCATTTCCTAACCTGATTGAGTGAGATGCAGCCGCTGTTTCTCTTGTGAAATGGTGCGAGGGCCAACGCCGTCCACCCAAACGAACTTTTTTAACTTCACATTCATTGGTGAAAATGACAAAGGAACTGATTCTCCATAGACACGATTATGCTTTCTTGATAGTATTCTCGATTCCTGCGTTGCTACAGTATTGCCACTCGATAATGGCGATACCTCCATCCGGGTTGGTGGACAAAAGCGTAATTAAGTAGATAATGGTCTAACAATCAAAGAATATTGAAGTGTTAAAACAAATGATTGCGATCACTTTCAAAAATAAAATACATCAATTTTTAAAATTTATATTTTAAAAATATTATTTAAAAAATAATATTTTTAAAATTTTGATTTAAAAATAAAAGCACGTAATTTTAAGATTTAAACAGTCCTGAAATGTTAAAACAAAGGATTCCACATATATTCAGGTTCCTGAAAGCCAATTGGAGAAGCTGGTCCTGGTGGGTCGAAGCTCGTGGCTCACGCACTCCTTCTCCAATGATTGATGATGGTTAATGAGTGAGTGGTGTGTGGAGGCAACAGGAGCCCCGGGTTTGAAATATTAGAGCCTTACGGAGAAAGGGCACTGAATAGGGGACAGTCGAGGAACGCCTACTTCTCATTTCATCTTTCACCGGCTTATCATTTCAATTAGACTCGAGCCAACCCAAGTAACTATGCTTTCAAGTGAATCAATAGCTGGACAAAATAAGCATAACCCATTTCCTGACCTGATCGAGTGAAACGGAGCTGCTGTTTCTCTTGTGAAATGGGTGCGAGGGCCAACGCCGTCCACCCAAACAAACTTTTTTAACTTCACATTCATTGGTGAAAATGACAAAGGAACCGATTCTCCACAGACACGATTATGCTTTCTTGATAATATTCTCGATTCCTACGCCGCTACAGTATTGCCACTCAATAATGGCAATACCTCCATCCGGTTTGGTGGGACAAAAGCGTAATTAAGTAGATAATGGTCTAACAATCAAAGAATATTGAAGTGTTAAAACAAATGATTGCGATCACTTTCAAAAATAAAATACTTTAATTTTTTAAATTTATATTTAAAAAATATTATTTAAAAAAATAATATTTTTAAAATTTTGATTTAAAAAATAAAAGCACGTAATTTTAAGATTTAAATAGTCTTGAAATGTTAAAACAAAGGATTCCATGTATATTTAGGTTCCTGAAAGCCAATTGGGAGAAGCTGCTCCTGGTGGGTCGAAGCTCGTGGGCTCACGCGCTCCTTCTCCAATAATTGATGATGGTTAATGAGTGAGTGGTGTGTGGAGGTAATAGGAGCCCAGGTTTGAGAATATTAGAGCCTTACGGAGAAAG